GGCAGTGCTCATCTCTGTTACAAAGCAGAAGAGCCAGCACTGTCCGAAGACGTCTCCATGGTCATGTGGCCAGCATGACTAAATGCCGGAGGCGCACAGAACACTGTTACCTTCCCACCAAAGGGGTCCCTATTTTTCTACTTGCATTTTTACATGCTTTTGAACTGCTAGGTTGGCAGAAGCTGGGACAAGGAATGGGAGCTCACTCCGTTACATGGCACTAGGGATTCAAACTGCCAAACTGCCAACCTTTCTGATCGACAAGCTCAGCGTCTTATCCACTGAGCCACTGTGTCCCTTATTTCAGTCTTAAATTAAATCTAAATATGAGCAAGTTATATGTCTATGGAGATTTTCAGCCATCCAGGTCATGATTGTCCCAAAGGTGCTTTTTCAAGAGGCAACTGGACAAAGCACTTTGAAAAAGCACCTTTGGGACATGAGAAAGTTTATCTTCATCCAAAGGAAAAATCCTGATCTTAACATTGAATCCTGTGGAAAGACTCAGAAAGAACCTCCAGCCATTCCATGAAGGATAGAGGTTTCAAAACAAAACCAACTATGTTCTCTGATACAAACCAGTCTTAATTGATTCAATACAGGCTGGTGAGGGTCATTTCCTTCTTTGTAAGCAAATTAGATGGTTGCACATGTGATCCATCAAGATGTTCCAGGAGGCTGTATGGCCTCCCAGTGAAACAAGCACAAATGTTGTTGTTGTTTTGTTTTTGGTGTTTAAAGCATGTTACTTAAAATAAAACGTTTAAATTTAAAAAGAACAGTTACAGGGACTGGGCATGGCTTAGTTTAGTGAAGAGAAGGACCAGGGGGAGACATGATAGCAGTCTTCCAATATTTGAGGGGCTGCCACAGGGAGGAAGGGGGTCAACCTGTTTTCCAAGGCACCCGAAGGCCAGACAAGGAATAATGGATGGAAACTGAACAATGAGAGATTCAAGCTAGACATAAGGAGAAACTTTCTAACAGTGAGAACAATCAACCAATGGAACAGCTTTGCCTTCGGAAATGGTGGGAGCTTCATCACTTGAGACTTTCAAGAAGAGATTAGACTGCTATTTGCCAGAAATGGTGTAGGGTCAGCACCATCTTGGGGGTGGGGGTTGGACTAGATGACCTACAAGGTCTCTTCCAACTCAATCTGTTAAAAGAAAACCCCCTTAGAGTTCCTTTCTCTATATTTCCAAAATGTGCAGTTTTTACCAGTGTGATTCATTCCATGATGCCATTTGTCCTTTAAGCAGGAAAGCGAAAGCAGCAAATATTGCACATAAGCATGAAGATATCTTCGGATAGGTCATATGTCTTCAGCTTACGACAGTAATAAATCCTGGAATTTCTGTCACTAGCTGAGACACCCACCTAACCAGGTCTGATTTTAATTTTTTTTAATGGTTGTTAAACAAATGCCATGGTTAAGCAAAATTGGGGGGAGTGGGGTATTTGCCAAAAATCAACCAAAAAGACAAGAGATCTGGAAAAAAAAAAAGGTATACATTGCGGTCATATGACTGCAGAAAATTCAACCAGTCATAAAGGTGAACCAATTGCCAAATGTGGCATTTCCAGGCATTTGGCAACTGGCTCACCTGTAACTGGTTGAGTAGTAGGCAGTCACATGACCACAATTTACAACTTTTTCCAGGTTTCTTGAGCTGATTTTTAGTAAAAAAAAAAAAAAAACACCCTAGGTTTCATTAACCAGGGCATTTGTTTAACAACCATTACCCCCCAAAAAGTAAAATCAGACCTGGTCAGGTCGGTGTCTAAATTCGACAGAAATTCCAGGATTTATTATAGCCATAAGTTGAATATTCCCTGTATACATATTGGACTGTTGTAGTGCTTTGTTAGATTACATAGGGATACTGCAATGTAATCTAATTTAAGTGTACAAAATGAAATCAGTGGAAGAAATGTCCATCTGGGTTCAGTTCCAAGTGGGGAGAAAGACACTGGAAACATGTAGGCTGCTTGGAAGAATGATTTAATGGAGCAGAACCATTAAGCAAATGGTCCTGATGCAGCTGAAAACATGGAATGGCGAGATATATATTTATTTAAATTGAGCTTCCTGTTCCTGTGGCAAGGGCAAGTACCCTATTGGTTGTCAGGCTGCCATGGGGCAGAGGTCTTAGCTAACTTTATATTGACTGTTTCCTAGTATGATTTGATTGTTTATTGTACCCTATGACTATCATTAAGTTGTACCTATGATTCTTGACTCTTGATGAATGTATCTTTTCTATTATGTATACTGAGTATTTGTCCAATCACACTTGGCCAATCAAGAATTCTATTTTTTGTAGGCTGTCTGTGTCCCAGGCTTGGTTGAATCTTGCTGGGTGATGTAATGAAGGGGCTTGGTTGTGCCATGTGGGGAGTTCTGCTGATAGATAATCCTATTATGTCCTGGAGGGTGAAGGTTTTAGATAGATAGATAGATAGATAGATAGATAGATAGATAGATAGATAGATAGATAGATAGATAGATAGATAGATAGATAGATAGGCTGGCCCAGTCTTTTGTGTTGTAGATAATCTGGCACCAAAATATCTGCTGGGGGCAGGGAGCTGGGGCTGAATTTCTGTTTCCTTTTAAGATTTTTTTATTTCTCTTTTAGGGGAAATATTCTGCCTTTTTAATATTTACTAGAATATTCCATTCTTCTAGGAGAGAGGGGTAGGTGCTAACTTTGTACAATAGAAAACCCAGTTTGATGTAGTGGTTAAGTTACCAAGCTAGAAAGTAGGAAACCGTAAGTTCTACGGTATAGTTCCACCATAGTCACGAGACCGCTGGGTGACTTTGGGCCAGTCACTCTCGCTCAGCCCTCAGGAAAAGGCAAGAGCAAAATCACTTGGTAAGAAAACTGCCATTTGCTTGATTGGCGATTTTAACTCCATTGCAGACTACCAAAAAGACCATAGCAATATGGGAAAAAACAAGAAGGGGAAAAGGGAACTTTCTGCGGCATGTAAGGAAATGATGAAAGAGTTAAATTTAAAAGATTTATGGAGGGAACGGAATCTTGAAGAGAAACAATTTACATACTATTCTAATCCACATAAGACTTGGACTAGAATAGATATGGCTTGGATGGATTTGGATTTGGCTAATGAAATAAAAGAAATTAAAATCCTACCAAATGAATGGGCTGACCACAACCCAATACAGCTAATTTGGAGAGATAGGAGAGGAATAAAAAAAAGATGGACACTCAACACCCAAATAGTAAATGAAGAAGAGCATGTTAATAAGCTGAAAGAGGAGCTAAACTATTTTCTAAAAGATAATAAAATGAAACAACTTCAAAACAGAATATTTGGGATACTATGAAAGCAATTATAAGAGGTACAACAATTTCCTATAATGCTATGAGAAACAAGAGAACTTATGCCCAACAAAACGTATTACAACAACAAATCAAAGATTTAGAAATACAATTACAAAAAACCCCTAAGATCCAAGGAATACAAAACCAGTTAATATTAGCCAAACATAAGCTGAACTTAATTGAACAAGATAAAATAGAAGTTAGCTTGAGAAGGTCCAAACAAAATTATTTTGAACACGCCAATAAACCAGGAAGATGGCTATCTTATAAACTTAAAAAAGAAAAAGAAAAGAGACTGATACACCAACTAATAGACGAGAAAGGCATACCACAACATGAGATTGAGAAGAAAAAAGATATTATATTAAACTATTTTCAAAGATTATATAAAAAAGAAGAAATCAATGAAGACAAAATAAGAACTTATCTGGAAAATACGAATGGTAAGAAAACTGCAGGGACTTATCTTTATAATTGCCAGGAGTCAAAACTGACTTCAAGAGTCCAAACAAAAAAGGGAAGAAATGCTGCTGATCATTTTGAAAGAGATTGTTGCCTGGGTATTTTATTTCTGGGGAATTTGTCCAGGTTGTGTCTATTGCTGTGTCATCTTGCAATTGTAACTGGTGCCCCTTGCCTCCTCTGTATTAGGATCGTCAAATCAATGGCACAGGATTTGAGATGGAGGTAAATTTTCTATTATACCTGTGTTCCCTAGCTGGCCACTGGGTGGCAACACAAAGACAAATATTTTAGTTTCCTAATGTAGCAAAATTCTGCTACTTCTGTTTACTTCTATAAACTCCATCCACAGATGATAGTAATAGTGATATACAGGTAGTCCTCGACTTACGACCACAATGGAGCCCAAAATTTCTCCTGACACATTTGTTAGGTGCATTTTACGACCTTTCTTGCCACAGTTGTTAAGTGAATCGCTGCAGTTGGTATGTTAATAACCCCGTTGTTAAGTGAATCTGGCTCCCCCATTGGCATTGCTTGTCAGAAGGTCACAAAAGGGGATCACGTGATCCCTCGGGACGCTGCAACGGTGACAAGTATGAACCAGTTGCTAAACTTCTGGATTTTGATCCACATGATCATGGGAATGTTGCAAAGGTCATAACTTTGAAAAAAACGGCCATAAGTCACATTTTTCAGTGCTGTTGTAACTTTGAGCTACACGAACTGTTTGCAAGTCAAGGACTACCTGCACAATATTTTTCTAAAGCTGAAAAAAGAAAGAAAGAAAGAAAGCAGACATAAACTCAACCAGTTTTAATACATCTCAGCATTGAAAAACCACAACCATCCCACCACCTCGAGTTTCAGATACATAAACTTAAAAACACGAACCCATGCTTTATGTGAAGTGTGCATTTAGTGTTTGCTTTAAAAAGCTTCCCCTGTTTAAAAAAAGAAAGAAAGAAAGAAAACCTTTAGAAGGATGCTTGGTTAGAAGCAAGAAGCTGGCGTTTTGAATGAATTAGATTCGGTTTGTGACAATAGTCCAAAAGAAAAAGAAAAAAGAGGCAAACTATAGGTGTGGTTGATTTGTTGCTTTGTCTCCTTTGGAAGAATGAGTCATGAAAACTGGAGTGCGGGGCTTTTAAAAGCTACCCGACGTCCGTCCTTCCAGCCAACTTAGGGAGTCAGGGTGAGAACAGCCTTGTGAAAGAGGTGAAAAAAAGGAACAAAGGCCTCCTTGGAGATGGTGCTTGTGTAGGTATGATAGAGTAAGGTGGCTTCGTCGGCGTCAAAGAAAGACACGTGCTTCCCGGCGCAATTTAAAAAGACCCGAACCCTTCTCAGCTCCCCAGTGGGCTGTAGCCGAGAATAATTTGGAGGATCTAAAACAAAATAGTCATTGCCACGCTTCCCTATGGCCCAAATGCCATTTCTGGGCTCAATGGAGATGGCGTTTTTCCTCCTCACAGATTTCCGGGCCACGCCCACTGTCCAGTCCCCCTCCTTGCCCATGGAAATGTCCCAATAACTCCGGCCCTCCTTGAATTCCTCGCAGCCCAGCACGCTGTGGCTCATGTCGAATCGTTTGTTGGACTTTGCAAAGCACGCCTCCTTGTTTCCCAGCGTCACGCTTTTGCAGTCCTCCGATAGGATGAGCAGGGGGTGAGCCGTCTCCTTGTCTAAAGTGATCACCGCTGGAGGAGGGAAGAAATAAAAGATGGAGATAAGCAAGCATGACGGTTGGGAGACCAATCTTGGAGGCAAACACCGTGTTTCCCAAAAAATAAGACCTACCCTGAAAATAAGACCTACCCTGATTTTTAAAGCATGTGTGTAATATAAGCCCTACCCCAAAACTAAGCCCTAGTGAAGGTGTGGCCAGCACAGGAAGCAGCAAACATGCACAGGCTGATGGTTTCCAGCAGCAGACGCAGCCCGCGTAGTGCAGGTGTTGCTTATCTGTCCAAGCAGCAGTCAGAGGCGAAGGGGAGCCACATGATCCAGATGTGCTGTGCGGGATACATCGTGGTCCAATGTCATGGGCAGCTGCTGGAGGCTTATCTTTGTGTGGTGGCACTGGCAGCAGATGAAGGCACATGCACAGGAGAGAAGGCAGGCAATCTGGATACGCCGTACAGGTGTATCTCTCGGCTTATCTGCAGCCCACAGGGTACATCGGGATTGCCTGCCTTCCGCCCCGCACCTCTGCCTCCATCTGTTACCGCATGAAGACAAGCCTCCTGTGGCTGGCCGGCCACTCCAGCCCACTGAATCTCAGGTTTCCTGTAGCCTGCACAGCGCGTCCAGGTCCCCTGCCTCCCCTCCTCATGCCTCTGCCTCTGTCTGCTGCTTGGACAGGTAATCAACTCACCTACACTGTGCAGGCCGCACAGCCCCAAAGTATGCTCACCGAGGGGCCATTGGCAGGGGTGAGATTCAACCAGTGTTACTACCGGTTTGGTGACTACGTTTTGCTGTGTGCGCGCGTGTAAAAAAACCTTAAGCTGTGCCTCCTGGACAGCTGAAAAGCACTGTGTGCAGGTGCGCAGTGTTTAAAAAGCCTATTTTTTCCTGCTTTTTCAACCTTAGCTGTGCCACGCAAAGCAGCTGAGGTTGAAAAAGCAGGAAATAAAAGACAGGTAAGAGCCCGGGTGGGCGGGTGGACCAAACAGCAGCAAACCCAGAACTGGTTCAGTGTCTGCTGATCTTCAGAGCTACCGGTTCTTTAGAACCCGCAGAACCAGTAGCATCCCACCTCTGGCCAGCAGGCTTCAGCTGCTGCCGGATACCATCTGTCCCCATGCGCTTGCTGCTTCTTGTGCGTGCACCAGAGAGTGGGACACCCAGCCAGGCTGATCACCCTTTAATTGTGTTTCCCCAAAAATAAGCCCAAGTGCTTATTTTGGAGCTCCCCCAAAATATAAGATTGCCTCTTATTTTTGGGGAAACATGACCGTCTAGGGCTGCCATTTAGGGGCTGCAAAAGTGGGAGGAGCACTAGAAAGCGGTAGAGAGTGTTCTGATCTTTCTGCTGACCTCTAGAGGACATCTGGATCCATGCAGCTCAGAAATTATAGCCCAGCTCTCTGGAGAAGGCTATTAACTGTTGGAAAGGAAAGAGAAGCGCAGGACCAGCAGCCAGGATGGTGGATTCAGGTACAGTGGTGGTGGGTAGACCATTGGAAGACCTGAAGAACCAGGTTCAGGATAGATCATGAAGAGAATTTATCTATGTGGTTGTTAGGAGTTTAAAATACTTGATGGCACCTAATCAACCAAGTCAACTTTTGGCACATATCCTACCCTCTCCGTGTCTTTCCTCACTCCCCAAATATGGACAGGTACAGAGGTGGTATTCAGCCAATTCGGACCGGTTCTGGCATATCGGTAGCGGAAATTTTGACTACTTTACAGAACTGGCAAATGCCACCTCTGACAGGCCTTGCCCACCTGCCCCCGCTGTTAGCTCTCCTATATTCTCTCAGCTGATTCGCACAGCAGAGCTGATTGCTGCGCCTCAGCTGAGCTAACAAACAGCTCAGCTGACTCACCAACATTCGGACAGAGGTCGGTTTTTGAGCCCTGCATGCTCATAGAACCAGTAGGAAAAAAATTGGAAACCCACCAGTGGTGGTATTCAGTCAGTTCACACCGGATTGGGCAAACGGGCAAACCGGTAGCAAGAATTTGGTGTGGGTCACTGAACCGGTAGTAAGTTCTAGCTGGCCATGCCCCTGACCCGGTCGCTGGCTCATTTGCCCCGCCTGCCTGATGCTTGCTCATCCCGCCCTCCTGACTTAAAGTATTTTTTTCTTTTTTTTCCTTCCCGACAGTCAGCTGTTCATAAGATCAGCTGTGCCAGGATTTCCCTTGCTGAAGCCCAGGAAGGCAAAAAATGGAGGGAGGAGCTCAGCCCCCTTCTCTATTTTTTGCCTTCTGAACCTCAGGGGAGCCTTCTGGGAGCAAAAATGACCCACCCAGAGGCTCCTCTGAGGCCCACAAGGCCCAAACAATGGGTGGGTGGGACAAAAAAAAGCAAAAAAAAGAAAGCCAAGCCCACCCAGTCACATGGCCATCCCCACCAAGCCACGCCCACAGAACCGTTAGTAAAAAATTTGAATCCCATCACTGAAACCCACCACTGGACAGGTAGATAGTCTTGTCAAAATACAGTGGTCTGGGATTCTGGGCTAATCTTAATCCATTTTTAAACTCTCTCTCCATTTCCTGTAACATAAATAACCCAAACATTTTCAGTCTTGACCCACATCCATGTCTAGATCTAGTAAAAGTAATTTGAATAAAGAGCAAAACCTCCGACTGAAAAAAGATTGTAGTTGTTTATCTACCTGTGGTGTTTATTTAGGTAGTCTTTGACTTATAACCATTTGTTTAGTGTCCGATCAAAGTTACTACCGCCCTGGAAAAAGTGACTTACGGTCTTTTTTTCACACTTACAACCCACAGTCACATGATCAAAATGAAGAGGCTTGGCAACTGGCCTGTATTTATGACAGCTGTAGTGTCCCAGGGTCATAGGGTCACCTTTAGCAACCTTCTGACCAGTGAAGTCCATGGGGAAGCCAGATTCACTTAACAGTGATGTAACTAGCTTAACAACTGTCGTAATTCACTTAGCAACTGTGGTAAGAAAGGTTGTATAAAGGGGCAAAACTCACTTAACAACCCTCTCACTTAGCAATGGAAATTTTGGGCTCGCTTGTGGTCACATAAGAGTTTTCCAAAAACAGCCAATAATAAGAAAATAAATCCACAAGAAATAAAACCAATAGTTAAACAATATAATCACAACCTACCTTCCTCTTTAAAAACCATTTTTAAAGTCACAGAAAGCTGGTGTGATCAAATGTGGATTCTCTTCCATCCTCTGCCTCTAAAAAGGCACGTGTATGGAGGCAAATAACTCTTTTAAAAAAATTAAATGCCATTAAGATGGCAACAAACAGGAGTGGTACCGTGGCCTAGAGGTGGAGTCTCGCCTCACAATCAGGAAGCCGTGAGTTCGATCCTAGGTTGAGACAGATTTTTCTCTCTCTGGGCACAATGAGAATAGATCTGCTGAACAAAACTCCACACTGACAACAGGAAGGGCATCCAGCCAGTAAACATTCATCTCCATTCAGTTGCCCAGACTCCAGCCCCCAAGAGATTATGGGGTCATTAAAAAAAGATGATGAAGATGGCAAGAAAGAGGACTGAACAGCCTTTTAAGTTTGTCTATGGTAGTCTGGAAACTCACCTTGCTGCAGGGAGAACCCCAATTTCAGAATTTCTGTGGAAGAAATCAAAGCTTGATCATGCAAATTGTCTTCATTGGTTCTTTTTAATACTCTCTATTATTCCCCCTGCTTCCTTGCTGGCATCCAGATGTCCCTTGTTAAGTCAACAATTCTCTTCCTAAAGCTTGTGAATCGTCTTATTTCAATGCATCACCGAATAAGAAAACAACTGAGCGGACTTTATAAAGCACAAAGGTATGCATAATAATAATAATAATAATAATAATAATAATAATAATAATAA